AGAAGATTCCTTACATAATGATATTCCTTGCAACAAAATTTTTTTCGTTTATTAATATGCATTTTAACACTTTTCAAATCATTTTCATTAAAAATAACAGTTGAATTGAGTTTATCTTTTATATCCCAAAATATTTCTATTTCAAAAATGTCAGTATCCTTCTTTATCCAATACGCCTTTTTGTTTGTCCATAAATAAACTGAAATTGCAATTTCTTGCAACTTCCTTATTTTTCACAACACTTTGCTACATTATAACAAAACTTCCCCATCTTGTCGGACTTGGAATATTTAAAGAAGATTTATATCCTTTCAATATTTGTCTTTCATTAAAAGTTGCCAATAAAATACCATTAAATTTTTTATATTTAATTTTGTTTGGTTTTTTTGATGATCTTTTCAATAAAACGTATTTGGCATAAATTTTTAATATGTAGATTTAAGCCATGTGCGGCACATTCAAAACATTCAATATAATTATATTTTGCCTTAACAAGACTCCAGACCTTTTTCATATTCATTGCATTAACAGTTATTAGAGAGATAAATTTTTTACTATCAATTTCTTCAATTACCTTGATCAGCTCAGATGTGATATAATCACTAGTGTGAGCACTAGATCCTGTAACAATGGATTTAAAGAAAATGGGTTCTGGAGTCATAATTATGAAATTAAAATTATAAATCATAATTTTTGCTATAAAATATTATATTTATATTAAGGGAAAATTCGAGAAATTTCCCTACCTTTACATCTCTAATTAGAGGTTTGCAATAAATTAGCGGGAGTCCATTATTTAAAATTTTTTCAACCTCATGATCAAAAAATAATGGATGAGCAAATTTTTTTTAAAGCTATCTTGATATGTACAGATATCATATAAATGAACGCGAATAAAGTTTAACAAGATGCAAGATATACAACAAGATACGCGATATAGATAATTGATAAAAAAATTGAAAGAACTTCAGTTATCACAAAAAGTTACTTTAAAAATTGGCATAATGGCGAATAATATAATTTTTGGACATAGTGTTACAAAAAATTGACATAATGCTAAACAAAACACTTTCTTTTTATACATTTCTATATTTTTATATAGGGTGTATAATAAAGGATGAAAATATCTTTATATATTTTATTAAGGTAATTTATTATGATTTTAATGTTATTAGCTTACCTACATTATGAAACCTTAAACTGACAGGGTAAAGATAAATAATGTTGGTTGTCATATAGCAATTTGAAACAATCAAATTTACTAAACAATGGCCAAATTTTATTAAATCATCTTGTTTACTTCAGAAAAAAACTGGATCTGAATTCAAACCAAAATCTATACCTAGGGACGTAGCTAAACATTCTCCTTAGAGGGGTGCCACACTAATAAATGTCTGGGAGTCGGTCTCCCAGACCTTTGTTAACGAGCCTTCTCCCCTTTTGCCAAGTCTTTGGCAGGATTATCTTAAAAAATATTTCTTTCTATTTTACTCTGTATATTTTAACAATAATATCAGGTAAATTTAAAATAACCTAAAATTCGACTTTATTTTAATTAAATTATAAAATGCTTATACTTTTTAATTTTTTAAGATAAATATCACTTTTTAATTGTCGAATAAAATTTTTTAAAAAAATGTTTTCTCTTGGCGCCAGGAAAATAAATTGAATTTTCTACTAAAGCAAATATATATATATGATAGCGGCAATGTGTAATTTTCGGCAATGTATACATAGCCTAAATTTTTTCGGCAATGTGAGGTAGTGGTGGGCAGGGTGATTTTTTTATTTCAACAATGTGAACATTGCCGGGTTAAATCAGGCAATGTATTTTATTTTACAAATTGATAAATTTATTTGAGATTAATTTATAATTTATTTAATATTAATTTATATTATAAATTTATTTTTTAATATTTTAGTAATATATTTTTTTAAATATATATTTTTAAAATGATTTTTTATATATTTATTTTTTACTTAAAAATTTTCTTGATAATTCTTTTGATCGCTAAATTTATTTTATTTTTTTGAGATTATTTGTGTAATATGATTTTTTTAATATATTTTTTGATTGTTATTTTTTTTAAATATATTTTTTGCAAGTTGTTAAAGGCTAACTTTTTTGGTAGCTATAGCTAATAGCGGCTACTTTTTTGTAATTATTTAATTTTTTAGCGCGCAACTTTTTTTGAAAGTAGCTAAGTAGTTAGCTACTTTTAAAAAATATAATGAAGATAAGTATAAACATGAAAATTTAAATATAATATCATAATTTTTATGATTTATTATTTAACTTTGAAATTGATATATATTTTCAATTTGTAATTTATATTTCCATTTGTATTATAAACCTAAATCACGTGTTTGTAATTGAAAATGTCATCGCCTATGGATATTCAAATCGTTGAAAGTGATTCAGACAATGATATTAATGAAATGGAAGATACCAGGGAAGAAAATGTTCTTAATAGCTATAATACAAATTTCCCATTCCCTAGATTTGAAAATTTTTTAAAATAAATATATAATCCAAAACTGGCTTCAAATTTATTTGTTTAAAATGTAAAAAAAAATATTTCCTCAAATAAATCCAGTAGCTATAGCCTCATGAAACACCTAAAGGTACATTGTCATTTTTACATTCCTATAATATATATTTTATAAGACTGTTCATGAATTTTAAGGAAATAGAGAAACATCTAAATAATTTTGGTATAGGCGACTCTACATCCAAAAAGACTAATTCAATTCAAACCAAATTAATTAATAATACAAATGACAATATTTCTCAGAAATTGGCTGATAAAGTTATTGTTGAATTCATAATTTATACAGTTCACTCAATGTCCTTGGTTAATAATCCATCATTTACCATGATGATTAAAACTCTATCCCCTAGTACAACATTTTAAGCCGCCAGACACTAATGAATAAAATAGCAGATAACTATAAAATGATGAAAGATGCGCTAATAGTAGAGTTATCAGAGATATCATATATATGTACCACGGCAAATAGTTGGACACATAACATAAGGTAAAAACTTATTTATATTTATAAATTGATCTTATTAAATATTTTTGAGCTTATTTGGGAATCACAGGCCATTGGCTAGACACTAGTGTTGTTAAAAGGCTCGTTTTGAGCCGATTTTTAAAAACGGCTAACTCAATATTTTAACCAGAAAAATATTGCTTAAGCCTCAAGATTTCGAAAATGTATGTCTAGACATTTGTTCCTTCTATGAGCAAAATCTTCAGGCTTGGGTAATATTTTTCTGGATGAGGTATTGAGTTAGCCGTTTTTAAAAATCGGCTCAAAACGAGCCGTTTAACAACACTACTAGACACTAATACTTTAAAAAGATCTATGGCATTAGCCCTCAAAATGATAATAGGATGCCAAACATACGATGTCCTTGCAAATAAAATTATTGATAATCTATCTTATATTAAAAATATGTATATAAGATTAAATACGCCCTTACCCTCAAGTGCTAGTGTCGAGAAATTATTTAGTAAGGCAAAAATACTTTCTGATCGTCGCTCTAGACTTGGGGATGATAATATTGAAATGATTTTATTATTAAAATGGTATAAATTACCATAAATATTTATTTTTTTATAATCACAACTAACTATATTTTAATATTTATAAATGTTGATTTTTATATATTTACTTTACAATAACATTATAAGCAAATTGTTTGTAAATTTTTTTTTATAAAAAGTAGCTAATAGCGAGCTACTTTTTTTGACAAATAGCGATAGCGACAGGGCGCTACTTTTTTTACCAAATAGCGATAGCGCGCTACTTTTAAAAGTAGCGTTTAACAACTCTGATTTTTTGAGATAATATATTTTAATTTATTATATTATTTATTTAAGTATATTTTTTGATAGATATTTTTTTTTTAATATATATTTTTAAAACGATTTTTTATATATTTATTTTTTACGTTAATTTTTTCTTGATATATCTTTTGATCGCTAAAAAATTTTTATTTTTTTGAGATTTTTTGTGTAATATGATTTTTTGATATTTTTCTTAAATTTATTTTTTTTAAATATATTTTTTGATTGATATTTTTTTTTAATTTATTTTTTTTGAATATATTTTTTGAGATAATATATTTTAATTTGTTATATTATTTTTTTAAATATATTTTTTGATTGATATTTTTTTTGAATATATTTTTTGAGATAATATATTTAAATTTTTTTAAATATATTTTTTGATTGATATTTTTTTAAATATATTTTTTGATTGATATTTTTTTTTAATATATTTTTTGAGATAATATATTTTAATTTGTTATATTATTTTTTTAAATATATTTTTTGATTGATATTTTTTTTTAATATATATTTTTAAAATGATTTTTTATATATTTATTTTTCACGTTAATTTTTTCTTGATATACCTTTTGATTGCTAAATTTTTTTTTATTTTTTTGAGATAATATATTTTAATTTGTTATATTAATTTTTAAATATATTTTTAGATTGACATATTTTTAAAATGATTTTTATATATTTATTTTTTGTAATTATTTATATTATATATCCTTTAATCGCTAATTTTTTAGATAAATGTGACAAATGTCATAATCGTTATTTTTGAACTATTTTGAGTTTCTTTAAAGTAAATAGGTAAAAATATGTTTTGCAAACATGTTAAATTAAAATTTTAGTGAAGGTAAACTATAGAAAAGTGACAATTGTCATAATCGCTATTTTTGAACTTTTTAAAGTAAATAGGTAAAAATATGTTTTGTAAACATATTAAATTCAAATTTCAGTGAAGGTGACTATAGAAAAGTGACAATTGTTATAATCGTTATTTTTCAACTTTCCAGATATTTGTAGAAAATTAGGAAATTCAGGCAAGTCAATATTTCGTAACATCTTTTGTATATGTAACAAATAATCAAAAAATTTATCTCATTTATAAATAAGATAATAAATTACATAGAAATTATATTTTCATAATATATTAATGCGATATGGAGAAAATCATTATCATAATAAATATCTATCATATTGTATAATAATTTAATTGTTGACAAGCAATAAATTTCAATATTGAATAAATATTTATATATAAACAATTATATAATACATGTTATAAAGAAAATACTGTATTTTAATTGTATCAAGAATGACTAGATGGAGCTCCGGCATTTTTTATATTTCACAGGTCCATGGACTAGCAACCTTTCCGGACTAATATAAATAATTTAAGAAAGGAATATATTAGAATATATATAGATTCTCTTAGCCTATAATTGAAGGAAGGGGGGAGGGCTTTGAAATCTGACTAAAATTAAAAAAATAATTAATTCATAAAATATCCCATTTTCCGTAACCAAGGTGGTAAAATAACTATAATAGATTATAAATATAAATCCAGTTAAATTACTTAAATACATGTCTTTATTTAGCCTAACTGAATTTCGATTAAAGGGGTGAGAGAGGGAGGGAATAATATGCGAAATAATACCTTTTGACAATATTTTTTCTAATACCCTATCCCCGCTCCCCTTTGTATGACAGCAGATACATAAATGTTGTATAAGTATCTTCTCCATACTAGATACATTTCATAAAAAGTATCTGTATATATACTTTTTATTATATGCAATATTTGATGCATTTTGATATAATTTTATTTATGTTTTAAATTTATTAAATATGTGACAGTTTATTTCTTTACAATTTAATTTAAAACAAAAGTCAAATTTTATTTTTTACAATGGATGACAATATAGTAATTAAATTATAATTATTTAATATTTTTAAATATTTTATTATTGATGGATAGTGGCACTGTCATGTCATCCCAATTTCAAATAAAATAGAGGTCGGTGCGGGCTGGCCCTGTAAATATTTGCCCTGTCTAAACCTTAAAAATATTTTGTATATGTTGCCTGGCACGTGATAAATTTTTTTAAAGAAAAACAACATAAAATTAGAATAATTATATGCTTTAAGAATATTTTCTAAACTTCAGGCCGACCTTAAAGATATTCATAATATCCTAAATCATTTGGCTTTCAGGCCAGGCTGCACCGACGAAAGAAAGTTTAAGTTTTAAAGATTCTCAATTTCAATATTATGCACATACAACACTTTATATAAATATAATAAAAAAAATATATCTCTTAAATTCAGGGTGTTTCAAACCGAACCCAGAGATGTAAAACTTCAGAGGGTATTTGCAAGAATCTTAACCTGAACCCATTTTCAATCATTTTGTAAACATCAAATTAAATCTGTTTTTGGAAAATTGATCTAAATTCTGGTTCATACCAATTTTTCAAAATTCCTTTTCATCAAAATTTGCCATATATTATAGAATTATAAAAATAGAATTTGAAATGAATTTTTTATTATTTATGTAAAAAAAAACCCTTCTGAAAAAGCTAAGAAAAAAAATATATACCCTTACTTGAAACCCCTTCCTACACTCAAATTACAATTTAAGGACAACTAACTCAAAGAGAATACCTTCTAAGAATTTCAAGACAGTTATTTTGTAACAACACGATACTTTTATTATAATATTTTATTAATACAAAATGATATTAATTTCAAAAATTAAAATCTATATTTAATCATCAATTTTTGTAAAATAAGAAAAAAGTAATAATCTACAATTTTATTCGAACACAAAAAAAAAATATATTAATATCACGTGTTCTTCTATGGTAATTCTAATTATAATCCAATCAACCTTATTTATTTTGGTTGATTGGCATTATGCAAAAATTAATATAAATTCATATATAAAACTACGACAATTTTTATATATTCATATATATAATTCCTGTATGCATAGACTATCTGAAATAACTTTTATCAGTTTTAACTTAGAAAAACCTTTTGTCCTTGGAAACAGGAATAGTGACCATTAATTATCTTAATCTTATAAAAATTAACTAATCCTTCCGGACTATCAGTAAAATAACTTCAAATTACCGACATTTTTTTAAACAACATTTCTGTTAGCATTGTTAAACAGTTCGATTTAGCCAATTTTAAATTAAAATTTTCATCAAATAATATTACGCCATCCTCGAGATTTCGTTAATAGATATTTCAAACCTTTCTGCCATCTATGAGCAAAATCTCCTGGCTAATATATATTATTTGGCTAAAATATTGAGCTAGTCATTTACAAAAATCGAGCTATTTATCAACATTAATTTATATTAACATTAATTTGCTATTTAAATATTATGAAAAATGGAAATAATTGTAGATGAAAATCTATCTTCAATTGAATTTTTTGCAGCATCCATGAAATAAAAATAGTCACTACTCTTTTTTGGGATTAATGATATGTTCATTATTCGTAGTAAAACAACCTTTATGCGTTTCTTTTACGAATTATTTTGGAAATTCTGGTTCAAGGTCAATTCCAACAATAAAATTAGTAGATCTTTAAATAATTCTTAATTCTTCTTTTTCTCCGTTTAATGGGATTTTATGTTTACCCAGATAAGTAATTTCCCTTCTGATTTTTCTTCTCCAATTTTGACGGTCCTGAGCATCAATATTTTTATTTTCTTCATATCCGGGGCTTATTCACGTCATCCTCGACCTTCTTTAAGGTTGATTCTCTTACATCCATCGCATCTCTTTACCCAGTCATCTTTTGTTCCATATGCCCAAACCAACTCAGTCTATTTCTTCTCATTACCACTCCAATCACTTCTATTCCCATCCTTGCCAATTCTTTGCTGGTTTTTCTCTTCCTCAGAGATACCCCTCACCTCCGTTCTTTTCAATTTAGTGACGTGAGCAGCTTTCATTGCCCATATTTCACCTACATAAACTATACAACTCCTCACACAGCAATAACTTCATAGATGGCTTTCCAAAAAAAATATATTTTCTATATAATCAGCTATTTTTTTGTTGCTGATTTTGCATTATGATAACCAAATAAATTTATACAATATTATTATTGTAAAATAAATTTCAAACATTTTTTCCACAGGTTTAGCAACAATATTTTTGTCGAATATACTGGGTTTTTTTGTATTTTCGTCATGTTTTTATACAAATAATTATATATTTCTCCAAAATTGTAACAATTTAGTTTAAAAGCTTTTACTCAACTTTTCCATGTTGTTTTGAAAATTTTGCCCTTTAAATTTTCTTCTATATTTTCCATCTTAATATTAAAATTGAGAAAAAATCATAATTTCATTTATGGTAAAATAGTTTGAAATGGCATTTGTAATCAAATCCTGAGTCTGGTTATTTATACCTAAGCATGTAAAAAGCTCCATCGTTTATAATCGAAATAAATACTTGGAGTTCATTCGATTTTCCTCTTTTATTGACATTTGGTACTATTTTATAGCCCTGACCTTGCAAGTCCTATATGTTGGTAAATATCAAAGAATTACAGAATCCTCATTTTTTAAGTTTTCGCCAGGGCTTCTTTTAACGGGTAAAAATTTTAAAATATTTTTTTACATTTGGACTTCCATTTTACACATCTATAAATATTTCTGACATTTACTCAGTATGAATACAATCCGGTGTACAGTCAAAATGATGGGAAAATATTTAGCGTTTTAGGCATTTAATAATTTTAATTCGAATTACACTTTCAATTAAATTTATTATTTTGTTCTGAATACTTTTTTCCCTAATATTTTTGAAATTTAATGAAAAAAATAAATGTAATTGTGGTCGATAGACAGTCATAAAAATAATATTAATTTGGTTTTAATAACAAATTTTTTTCTTTTTATTTTTTAAATTTGGCGCTCCTAAATACTCAAATTTGCTAGGCCCAACAGACACTGTGTAGTCATATTTGCGTAAATGGCAGAGCCGGTGCAGTATTTTGCTTTAATATAGTTTGAATAAAATAGCCTTCTAAATTAGATTTTTTAAAAAAATCATATGTATGATAATTAAAACGTTTGAAATTATAAAAATTTTATCAACGTTTTTAAACCCGAATTTACAGGGTTTCACATTTAAAAAAGGAAAAGTTCTAATCAAAAAAGGAAAAGTTTCAATCATAAAAGGAAAAGGGTCAATCATAAAAGGAAAAGGTGCAATTAAAAAAGGAAAAGATCCAATCAAAAAAGGAAAAGGTTCAATCAAAAAAGGAAAAGTGTCAAACAAAAAAGGAAAGGTCCAATCAAAAAAGGAAAAGGTCCAATCAAAAAAGGAAAAGGTCTAATCAAAAAAGGAAAATTCCCAAAAGGAAAGGAAAAGTGTCAATCAAAAAAGAAAATTCCCATTCAAAAAAGGAAGATCGTTATTTATTTATTTTTTAAATTATAAATTTTTATTTTTCTTACTACAATGTATTTTTCTTCTCATTTTTGATGATTCTTTTGTACTTTTAAAAATAATTTATAAATTTTTCAATATTTTCCTTCACCTCTCTGCTTCATATTTTTAACAATTCTTTACTTTTATTTTGACTTTTCATTCCTAATATTGTAATCTTTTACATACATATCTAATTTTTTCAATCTCTTTAAGTCATATTTAATCATTATTTTTTTGATCTTTTCTCAATTTTTTTTCTTCTTATTTTTGATAATCCTTGAATTATATCTAATCACTAAATTTTTAGCAGTCAATTTTTTTTTATTTGATTTTTTTTCATATCAAATTATTTAACTACAATTGCTAAATTACAGGGTTTCCCATTCAAAAAAGGAAAAGTCCCAATCAAAAAAGAAAAAGTTTAAATCATAAAAGGAAGGTCCGATCAAAAAAGGAAAAGTGTCAAACAAAAATGGGAAAAGTTTCAATCAAAAAAGGAAAATCGTAATTTTATAAAATTTATTTTCTTGTCAATTTTTCTTAAATTTTTATTTATTTTTGTTATTCCTTCTTATTTTATATATAACTTTTTGCGATTTCCTTACTTTATTTTTCTTAATATATCTTTTCTCAATTTATTTTTCTTCTCATTTTTTTATATTTCTTTTGTCTTTTTAAAAATAATATAAATTTCCCGTTATTTTTCTTCACCTCTCTGCTCCACTTTTTTAACAATTCTTTACATTTTTTTTATCATACGTACAATATTCTTTTTATGATTCTCTCTCCTTATATTGTAATCTTCTATATATATTTCTAACCTTTTGAATATCTTTAAGTCATTTTTAATCTTTATTTTTTTTTGACCTTTTCTCAATTTTTTTTCTTCTCATTTTTGATAATTCTTTTTAGGAATTACATTTAATCTTCACTAAATTTTTGGCAGACAATTTTTAACATAACAAATTAATTAATTACAATTGCTAAATTAAATTAATCGTTTGGTTAAAATGTACCTTTTTAAAATTAAATAAGTTTGAACTGTAATACCAAACGATATGTAAATTATAAAATATACTCATTTTTAAATTCTTATTTTTAAAATTTTAATATTTATGCAAGACGCATTTATACTTTCGACCAAGTAAGTAATTTTTTTGTAGTTATATTTAAGACTAAATTCTTTAATTTATGAATAATTAAACATAAAAATGAAGTAAATGTTATAGAATTTCAGTCTTTTTTGTCATTCATCCTATTTAATGAGTAAATATTTTAAAAAAGATATGGTAAAAACAAGGGGAAGAAATATTAACAGTGAAACAAAAGCTCTAATAAATGACGCGATAAAAAAGGATAGTATCAAAAATATAGCATCATGTTTAAAGGTAAGCTATAAGACAGTGACAAGTATTTAATACTCCCATCTCAAAAATGGAATAAAATATAATTTGCCCAAAGGTGGTTCACGTGCACACAAGAAATTAAATCAAGAACAGGAAGAATATATATTAAATTGTATAAATTAGGTTGAACTTTATCCCAAAAAAGGTTATGCGAAATGATTAAATAAAGATATGATGTGGAAATATCAAAAAATACGGTATCAAGGTTACTCTCGGGATTTAGGTACAGCTTTACAAGAGTATCACTAAGTTCAGTTAGAAAAAATACCGAATCAAATACGATATTCGCAAAAAATACGCGAATTGTTTGCAGATGTAGCCTATATGAAAGAAAAATTTATATTTATCGATGAGAGCGGGTTTTCAAATGAGGCGGTTTGGATATTCACAAATAAATAAAAAGGCTATTAAAAATGTTCAAGGGACAAAGACAATAAATTATACTATCATTGTTGCTCTAACAATTGCAAGAATATTTAGATTCGAAGTTCTTGATGGCCCTTGCAATGCTATATATTTTAGCAACTTTGTAAATGAAATTAAATCATTTTGAAGAAGGTAACATGATTAATATGATTTTTGTGATGGATAATGTTCCATTTTATTATAATCATACAATTAGGGAATCGATAGAAAGAAAAGGGCACACATTGAAAAATTTACCACCTTGCAGTCCTTATCTTAATCCCATTGAAAATGTGTTTTTTCAATGGAAGAATTCAGATTCATTTCATAGAGCATGGAGAGAGAGAAATATCTGAGGAGAATGCAACAAATTATTTAGAAATATGGAGACCCATATTCCAAAATGTAGAAGGGGGGAAATTATTAATGATTAATATAAATTTTTTGTATTATACATCGTAATTGTAATTAAATAATTTGATATGCAAAAAATTTTAATAAAAAAAAATTGTCTGCAAAAAAATTTAGTGAAAATTAAATATAATTCCTAAAAAGTATTATCAAAAATGAAAGATCAAAAAAATAAAAATGACTTAAAGAGATTGAAAAGATTAGAAATGTATGTAAAAGATTAAAATATAAGGAAAAAAATCATAAAAAGAATATTATATGTGTGATGAAAAAAAAGTAAAGAATTGTTAAAAATATGGAGGAGAGAGGTGATAAAAATAACGGAAAATTTATAAATTATTTTTAAAAAGACAAAAGAATGATCAAAAATGAGAAGAAAAATAAAAATTTATAATTTTTTAAAATAAATAACGATCCTTTTTTGAATGGGAATTTTCCTTTTTTGATTGACACCTTTCCTTTTTTAATTGACACTTTTCCTTTTTGATCGGACCTTTTTCTTCTATGATTGACTCTTTTCCTTTTTTGATCGGACCTTTTCCTTTTATGATTGAAACTTTTCCTATTTTGATTGGGACTTTTCCTTTTTGGAATGGGATTTTATTTACTTTGAACTGAAGAAGGTTCATGATTTTAATATAATTTTTGAACCCAAATTGAACTTAGCTAAAAAAAAATTCGCTGGTTCGAAGCCGTACCTAAATGTATCTAGATAGATTAAGTATTTGTAAACTCATTTGTGTGTATGGTAGGCCTTTATTTTTAAATTAGAGAATGGAATATTAAAAAAGAGAAAGTTTTTTTCTCACATGGATATCCATCAAGGCCTTAAATAAACGAGTATATAAAGGATTTGTTCCTTTAGTCGTGGGGATTTCATATCTAACTCCTTCGTACATAATTTGGTGAACTGGAGTAATAACAACCGCTGTCCCCGTGCCGAAAAATTCTTTCACCTATATGGGTATTTGAATTTTGAAGGAATTAAAAATATCATTTCAAACTTGTTAAATATCATTTTAAAACTTGAAGTGCATCACTCTAAATTTTATCTGACATTTATTTACCCAAAATAGGTGTCTGCTTCTTTGAAATTATAATAAATTAACTTAATATTATAGCTTGGAGACACTACATTTTTTTTAAAAATGAACATTAAAAACTACAATATTAAGTAACATACATAAGGTTAATTATCTAGCATAGTGTGTTTCAAACTTAATAGATAGCCTACATTTTAAAATCTATATGATTGATAACTGTCATGAAAAGAAAGTAGGATAATTATACTAATTAGAACCAGAGTTTAGATCTGGAACCAAACCCCATTTTTAAATTTCCAGGAATCAGTTCTAACAAAAGTGCAATTTAAATTTATATATCAGTTTTGAGAACAGGGCCAAAAAAATTCATTTTTAATAAATCCGGGCATGTCCTAAAAACAATTATTTTTTCATCAACCCTGAGCAGAATAGTTTAAAACTCGACTAACTATTATCATGTAAATAAAAAAATATATAATATATAATATTTTAAAAAAATTTTCATATTCCTATTTTTAGCTTAATCATACAAGTATTTGTCTTTATAAACTTTACTATATTAGGTAAATAAAAATATTTATTAATTTAGGAAACTAATTTATTTATTTTTAATAAAAATTAGATAAACTATAGGAAGAAAAAAGAAATAGTTACTATTTAAACAATTATAAAATAATAACTAAATCCAACTAATACTACAGGTAAATATAGATAAATTATTAAATATAATTTGCAATAAACAACTACATCATTTTAATCTTTTCCTACATACTCAAAAAAAATTTGATATACCCAGGCTCGGCCGAAATTTTTTTTACAAACCCGTCTCTGATATATATCGTTTAATGTGTGATTTAAAGTCGTTATTTATTGTTTAAAATTTTTTTATTGCTTTATACTTGAACTTGGAACGGTGTAAGATTAAACAGGAACCAAAATCACTATTTAAAAATTATTTATAATGCTATAAAAAAAATAAGGGCTCAACATGCTAAGTGTAAATAGGAATAATTTTGAGGTAAATTAGTTAGAAGCCTGGCTGGGCCAAAAATTAAATATATAGGGTCAGGCCATTTAAACTCGTTATTTTAAATTTTTTCTTAAAAAAATATGATAAAAATATTTTTTATTTTTATAAATAATTTAAGCTGAATTTTTAATTCACATCAACCACCTAAGTTCTTAATATTTATATTTATTACATTTTTGTTGTTGAATTTTATACAGTCAAGATTGTTAATCAAATTATTATTGAATCATTCATGATATGTCAATATATTCTCAAATATTATCATTTATTTTGTAATCAGATGAAGATGATTTAACTCTTCCTGGTTCTAGTATGAAACATTTTTTTTACAATAAAGAAAAATAAGGGCATGAAGTTTAAACTTTTTAAGTGTAGATTGTGCTCTAATTCAAATATTTCAACCTCGATGTGCAGCAGCTCAAATCTAAAAAGGCAAATATGAATTCAGATAATGATAAAAAAAAATTTAATAAGGTATTAAATGAAGATTCCCGTGAAGATGATCTAATAAGTTTTTTTTAAAATAAAGTCATTCTTTAAATATTTTTAATAAATTGCCCAATTAAATTTTTTATTTATCATATATATATATAATACAACCCTACCATCTTCTGCGCCACATGAACGTGTATTTAGCACAGCGAGCTGTGTTGAGTTCTAAGTGCTCTTGTTAATCTAATCTAAATTTTGAAAATCAATTGTTGTTAAAAATTAATACATTATTACAAAAAGATTTTAACTTATAATATATTATTTTTGTATTATTTTATTTTTGTTAACTATAGGAAAAAAATAATTTATCTATAATATTTATTTAGTAATCTTTGAGTAACGAATAACTAGCTACTTTTGAATAGCAAATTATGCGTTCCTTTTTCACAAGGTGAGTAATGGCAACTCGTTCCTTTTTTTCAACGTAACAAGTAAGGCGCTTTTTTGAGATAACGTTTAAGCACTAAGTATTAGTGAAAATATAATTAATTATTCTTAATTTACATTTTCTTCAAATAAAAATTTTTGGTAAGGACAAAAATAAATAAAAAATTCAAAACCGAGCCAGGCTTAAAATTTCTTTTAAAAAAATAGGGCTGGGCCTTAGTTTGGTAACGGATTTTAAAAAATTGACTACTAATTATATAAACTAACCCGGTTTTCTTTAATACCTAGCAACAGATCCCCCATAGTGTAAACCTTTTCTGACACCTCGAATTCCTTCTGATAAAAATTAAATATATATGACTGCATATATTCATTTTATAGTATATTTTTTCACTATTCCCTAATTCATATTATGGTTTGATCTGAATATAATTATGCAACAATATTTTTCTATTAAAAAAAAGTACAGACAATGGCTTTATTTATTTTAAAGAAAGGAAGAGAAAAAAAGAGAATTCTCCTTGTTTGAAAGAAAAAGAAAAACTTAATTCAACCAGAGAATCTATAAAGCTTAATTTAATTTATAATATGGTTGAAGGAGGGCAACAATAGTATTATAGTAGTATTCAAAACAAAATATAAATGCGATATTGAAGAACTTTAAAGAGTTTGTTTTCTACCAAAAAATTTTCTTTAGATTTACCCATGATCTTGCCAGTTCTAATATGCTTAGTCTCGTTATTCCGGGTAAAATTAACCCATTCAATGGCGCTGTTATCAACTCTAATTCTAATTTATATATGTGAAAAAAAAATCCAATTTAGGTATAAAACATACACAAAGATTTCGTATTATTTACTAAGTCTGATACTACTCAATATTTTATCCCCAAAAATATTATACAAGTCTACCGATTTTGGTCATAAATGGCACAAAGGTTTGGATATTTATTATCAAAATCTTGAGACTTAGGCGACATTTTTATGGCTAAAATATTGAGTTAGTTTCAAAAATCGGCTCAAATCGAGACGTTTAACAACACTATCTATATCACCAACTAGTGTTGTTAATCGACTGAGTCGAAAACTGAGCCAAATTTTGGGTCAAAAAAATCGACCCAAACTGACTTGAGTTATAAACTCGGGTCATAAACTCAAGTCGACTCGAGTCGTGAACTCAAGTTCATAAAATATTCGTCCTATGGTCGACTAGAGGACGAATATTTTATGAATTTGAGTCGACAACTTGAGTCCACTAGAGGACGAATATTTTATGAACTTGAGTGAGTCGACTAGAGGACGAATATTTCAAGTCTATTATTAATTAAGTTCTGCTTTTACATTACTTCTAATTTGAATCGTGAAAACAAATGAGTCGACTAGAGGACGAATATTTCACATTAGTTATTATTAAATATTTTTTGTTTTTTACATTTTTTTACTTTAGACTTCCAACTTGAGTCTTGACGTGAATAAGAATGATATACTTGAGTCGACTAGAGGACGAATATTTCTAGTTATTTATTATTAATTAAGATATATTTTTTTTTACATTTTTTTTACTTTAGACTTCCAAATTGAGTCGTGAATACGAATTACTTGAATCGACTAGAGGAAGAATATTTCATATTAATTATTATTTAAGATATTTGTTCTGTTATTTACATTTTTTTTCTTTAAACTTTCAACTTGAGTCGTGAATACAAATTATATAGTTAAGTAGACTAGAGGACGAATATTTCAAATTAATTATTATTATAGATATTTGTTCTGTTATTTACATTTTATTACTCAAGACTTCCAATTTGAATCGTGAATACCAATTATTTACTTCATTATCTTATTCCTCATTTTATTTGATCTTATAAACATTTTATTACTTAAGACTTCCAACTTGAATCGTGAACAATTATTTACTTCATTATCTTTTTCCTCATTTTATTAGATCAAATAAATTCTTATTAACATTTTTTGATTGAATACTCAAAAAAAATTCTTATTTACATTTTTTTGATTGAATAATATTCTCAAATAATAAAATATTGCAGGTATCTGAATATTTTGAAATTATATCTCAACCATATTTTGATTTTATATAAGAAAGACAGACGTGTGATAATAATGAAAACTATGAGATGACGGGTGAATCTTCTTTAGCACTCCTCCTCACCTGTGTATTTATTATATATTTAGTTTTACAGTCCCTCTTTTAGGTAATTTTTTTATTTAGTCATTAATGGTTAATAACTATTAAAATATTTTAAAAATATCAAATGTACTTGTCCAAGATACATATATAGAAATAGAAGAAAAAAATAAATATATGTGTTTAAAAAATAGCGATGAAATTAAACAAATCCAGCCAGAAAGTTCGTACTTAATTTTGAACTATGATGGGACATAGCGATACTATTAAATCTAGACATACTGACACATTTAAAGAAGGTTTCATGACCGGTCTGTTGTTTAGAATCCTCTTTTTTTAATACCGAAAATATTTTAAAACTAAAAAAATAGAAGATTTATTATATTTAAATTTATAAATTTCAAAAAAAGAAGAAAAAAAATTCTAATATGATTTAAAGAAGAAATTTAAATTATTTACTAGATTAAATTGAAAATGTATTTTATTTTCAAACAAAATATTTTTATATGGGGTGGGATGGTTTTTTTATTGATTCAATCGTCATTTTCACGTGTTGAGGTTAAGTCAATTTTCAATATATTATATTACTTTTTTTAAACAAAAATGCATACATGTGTAATATAAATTATATTTAATCTTATGTATGGTAATCTTTTTAATTAAATATTTTTAATATTTTAATAAAATTCAAGCTATAAAATAAGATTAAAAGAATTTTAAAATTCCATATTTTGTATTAATAGTTTGTTTTAAGTTATGTGAGCACATTTAGTAATTATATGGCTACAATAATTGATCCTAAAACGAAAATCAAATATATGCCTAAAATATTAGTTAAGGAGGAATATATGGAAAAATTTTAAATATTATATAAAGGTTTTGAATTTCCATCTAATAGATCTAATGCCTATGAATTTTCTCCTGATGATATGGATCTCAGCCGTATTCTGTTTGCATGCATCATGAATTGAGAAAGTAATTAAAAATATTTTATATTATATATTATAATTTTTATAGCATATGAATTCCCTGAACTTATAAAAGATGAGATCAAGGATTATCTCGATGATAAAGTAGCGTCCCCTACAACGAATACACTAGATTGGTGGGAAAAAAATTGCCTTGTCTATCATACATTATCGCTGATTGCAAAAGATTTTCTTGCCCAGCAAACATCAAGTGTGCCGAGTGAGAGAGCCTTTAGCAAGAGGATTTCCTTATGAAAAAAAGAAATAGGATGTCACTAGGCCTAAAACGAATTATTTGTTATTTGATATTCAATTCGATTCGATTCGTATTTTACGAATACGAATAACACAATTATTCTGAATAATGAGGAAAATTATTCGTATTATTCGAAATTTATTTATATATAAATATTCGTAATTATTCGCAAATATCTATCAGTGAGATTGAGAAAATAGAAACTTATTATAACTTAACAAATATTCACACTATAATATCAACAATACTGGATCCTAGACTAAAAATGGAATTTTTTGAGCAACTACCAACTACATATAACATAGACACGACAAATCTATTAGAAAAATTTAAAAATGTATATAATGATTACAAAATATAATATCAAATCAACATCAGTTAACCCAATAGTACAGTCGAACATGGATAGAATTTTTAAACAAAATAACATCACATCAGTATGTGAGGTGGAGACATATCTTAACAAAATAAGAATCAGTTCAAATAAGAGTCCCTTAGAATGGTGGAGATTGCATGGGGATCGTTTTCCTGTGTTGTCGAAAATGGCAACTGATTTATTGTCAATTCAGGGATCTTCGGCTTCATGTGAGCGGTTGTTCTCAATAGGAACAAATATGATAATGAAAAATAGAATGTCTTTGAATGAGGAAACTATTAGAAAGACTTTATGCTTAAAAAATTGGATATTATCAAATTCGGATTTACTATAATTTTATATTTTTGTGTATTATTTTCTACCTTTATAAAATGAGATTATTGTATATTTTTAGAAAATTTTAATAAAATTTGAATATTAGATTGAAGAAATAGTTTAAATATTTTTTTATAAGCAATTCTAATGCTAAAAATCGGATATTTTGGTCAATTTGTATGGTTAACGTTATATGAAATCATTGGGTTTTATTTCGTTTATTTTCAATAAATTTTTATATTGTAATGACAATTAGTTTAGAGAATCCTTAAAAGTGTCATCTTTAAACATCTGTAAAAATTTTTTTGCAAAATATTTTATAAGCTTTAGAAAAAATTTAGAATCGAATCGAATATTCGACGAATCGAAACGAATAATGATTTTGTTATTCGTACGAATACGAATAGCGCAATTATTCGATTCGAATTTTCGAATCGAATATGAATAATAATATTATTCGATTCGTTTTTTTGTAGGCCTAGATGTCACCATCCACTTTAAAGTATTGTTTATCCTTGAATAACTGGGATATCGATATGTGGCAGCAATAATATCTATATTTTTTTCTTATGTTATACCATATAATATTTTTTTCTTATTTTATATTTATAATATAATATCTTAATTAGAAACAGAAAAATAAAGTAAATTGTGTAATTGTTGTTTGATTTTTTAATAAATTCTAAAATGCTAAATAATATTATTAGATTAAGATAAGAATAATTATTTACTAAAGAGGGAATTTTTTAAATATTTTAATAGATATTAACCATTAATTATAAAATAAGAGGGACTATAAAAATACTAGATATATATTAAATACAGATGAAGAGGGGTTCTAAAGAAAATTCACCCGTCATCTCATAATTTTAATAATTATCACACGTCTAGTTTTATTATATAAAATTAAAATAATGGTTGAGATATAATCAAAATATTCAGATACCTGCAAAATATATTATTATTTGAGAATATTATTCAATCAAAAAAATGTAAATAAGAATTTTTTTGTGTATTCAATCAAAAAATGTTAATAAGAATTTATTTATCAAATAAAATGAGGAATAAGATAATGAAGTAAATAATTGGTATTCACGATTCAAGTTGGAAGTCTGAAGTAAAAAAAATGTATAACAGAACAAATAATTTAAATAATATTAACTAATTTGAAATGTTGGTCCTCTATTCGATTCAACTATATAATTTGTATTCACAACTCTTGGATGTATAAAGTAAAAAAATATCTTAAATAATAATAACTAATTTGAAATATTCGTCCTCTAGTCGACTCAAGTACAGAGAACTATTCGTCCTCTAGTCGACTCAAGATAAGAGAACTATTCGTCCTCTAGTCGACTCAAGTTCAGAGAACTATTTGTCCTCTAGTCGACTCAACTATATAATTTGTATTCACGACTCATGAAAGTCTAAAGTAAAAAAAATGTAAAAACAAAAAATATTTTAATAAATAATTTGAAATATTCGTCCTCTAGTCGACTCAAGTTCAGAAAACTATTAGTCCTCTATTCGACTCAAATTGACGACTCAAGTTCAGAGAACTATTCGTCCTTTAGTCGATTCAACTATATAATTTGTATTCACAACTCTTGGATGTCTAAAGTAAAAAATGTAAATAACAGAAAAATATCTTTAATAATAATAACTAATTTGAAATATTCGTCCTCTAGTCTCAAGTTCAGAGAAGTATTGGTCCTCTAGTAGACTCAACTATATAATTTGTATTCACGACTCATGAAAGTCTAAAGTAAAAAAAATGTAAAAACAAAAAATATTTTAATAAATAATTTGAAATATTCGTCCTCTAGTCGACTCAAGTTCAGAAAACTATTAGTCTTCTATTCGACTCAAATTGACGACTCAAGTTCAGAGAACTATTCGTCCTTTAGTCGATTCAACTATATAATTTGTATTCACAACTCTTGGATGTCTAAAGTAAAAAAATGTAAATAACAGAACAAATATCTTTAATAATAATAACTAATTTGAAATATTCGTCCTCTAGTCGACTCAAGTTCAGAGAACTATTCGTCCTTCTCTTGGATGTCTAAAGTAAAAAAAATGTAAATAACAGAACAAATATCTTAAATAATAACTAATTTGAAATATTCGTCCTCTAGTCTCAAGTTCAGAGAAGTATTGGTCCTCTAGTAGACTCAACTATATAATTTGTATTCACGACTCATGAAAGTCTAGTAAAAAAATGTAAAAACAAAAAATATTATAATTAATAATAAATAATTTGAAATATTCATCCTCTAGTCGACTCAAATTGACGACTCAAGTTCATAGAACTATTCGTCCTCTAGTCGACTCAACTATATAATTTGTATTCACGACTCACATTGGATGTCTAAAGTAAAAAAATGTAAATAACAGAACAAATATCTAAATAACAATAAATAATTTGAAATATTCGTCCTCTAGTCGACTAAAATTGACGACTCAAGTTCATAGAACTATTCATCCTCTAGTCAACTCAACTATATAATTTGAATTCAAGACTCAAATTGAATGTCTAAAGTAAAAAAATGTAAAATACAAAAAATATCTTAATTAAATAATAAATCTGAAATATTCGTCCTCTAGTCGACTCAAATTCACAAATCGAGTCGACTTGAGTTTACGACTTGAGTTCATAACTCGAGTTCACGGAGTTAGTCGACATATTCGACTAACTTACTCGAGACTCTGAGTCGGAGTCGGATGAACTCGACTTTTTAACAACACTACACCAACTATGCTGAAGACTTATTCTGATGGAACACATGTTGGATATGCCAAATACTTAAGTGTAAATTTTGTCAAAGTTAGAACCTTTATGCATTAACACTCCAATAATGAAGAGGATCAATTGGAGATAAAATATTGGTATCTTAATTAATCAAATTTTGTTAATATATAAATTTTGAATATTAAAACTTTTATATTTTTCTTTTAAATGAAATGACCTTTTCGCAATTTTTTTTATATAACTTTTTAAAAAAACTTAATATGTAAAAATATATATTGTATATAAAGAATAAAATTTTCAATATAGATAGTAATAAAATAAAAATTTAAAATTAAACGTTTGCCTTCCATACTAAATTATTATGGTGGCAGAATATTTGCTAATTATTACGTTACCAACCGAAATATGTATTAAAAAAAATTTTAGATATGATTTTAGATACTGGAAAGTGGTGAAACTAGACGAAAGAGGATTATGGAAAATGGTGTTAATTTAATTCTAAAACACGTAAGAGATGATTAAAATGTAAAATTAAAAATAAATATAATCAAATTTTAATAATAAAATATTTAAAATATGATTAAACCTATATGGGACAATAAGAATAAAACAAAATCCATAGATGAATTAGAAGATTATTTAATATACCATGAGAGTAAAGATGTTTTGAGTACATTTAATCTACCAGATGACTTATATTTGCTTATGGACACAATGTTACCGATATATGGAAGTTCAAGTTATGAAGAAGCAATATCTATATTAAAATGTTTTTGTAATTATAAAGAGGTAAAGGAGATAAATGAAAAATCTAAATCAAAAAATATATCTTATCCTAAAACTTGAATAAAATTGAATTCTGTAAATTAATACCAAATGTTAAAAAAGAAATAAATTCTTCTAAATTAAGAAATAAATCATATGATAACAATTGAAGAAATAATAGTGATTAAAGACAATAATGAAATAAAAAATTTAAAAAAACTTTAGAAATAAAGAAAATTAAAACAAATATTAAAAAGAGAGGCAAGGTGATTAAATATCTTGATGTTGAAAAAGTTTTTAAGAGTATGATATGGAGATCGTATGTTGAAGATGGAAGGAGAAAGAGAAATTTTTTTATAAAGAACAAGTTGAAGATAAATTATGATATAAAAAAATTGTTTAAATTGAAAAATAAAGGAGTAAAATTTAAAAAATAAAAATAATTAAATAATATCATAAAAAATTATTATATAAAACGAGACAATTCCAATATTCTATATTCCAAATTATGATTCTTATGAATGATTCTGATAAATTATTTATTCCATAATCATTTCAATTATTCCAAAATTATTTTATTTGAGATATATTGATCATAATATATATTTACAAACATTGATAAATAAAAAATAAATAAAAATGATAATAAATAACGAGATGAACAAGCTAATGTGAGGATGATGTTCAAGCGAATGATTAGACGATAAGGATAACAAGCTAAGAACAAATCAATGAAAAAGATATGACTGAGGCTAAACAACGAACATAATATCAAATGAAAATTCTACAACAAAGCTGAAAAATTTTTTAGAGGGGGAAGAAGTGAACAAGTTCAAGTTCAAAATTTGAAAATTCAAAGTCAAGTTCAAAAGAGAGAAAATGACTTACGACATAGAAAATGATTGTTATAAATAAATAAAAATTTTGTAAAAAAATATATATAAATTGTTGAAAGAGAAATGGGATGATCAATACAAACAGCAAATCAACAAGCAATGTTCAAACAACGATGTTTCACAAACGATATTCAATAAACGATTCAACAAACGATAATCAGATGGTCAAACAAACTATCTCAAGATATACGAACAAATGACTAATGGAGAAATTGAGAAACAAATGACTGGAAGTGAAGATAAGAAACTGAGGAAAGAAGACATTTAAAAAAAGAGGGAAATGTTAAATATATAAATTTTGAATATTAAAACTTTTATATTTTTCTTTTAAATGAAATTACCTTTTATCAATTTTTTTTATATAACCTTTTAAAAAACTTAATATGTAAAAATGTATTTTTTAAATTGTATATAAAGAATGAAACTTTCATATAGATAGTAATAAAATAAAAATTTAATTAAACGTTTGCCTTCCATACTAAATTATTAAATTTAAATTCGCATGATTTTTATTTAATATAAGTTCTTTCTTAATAAAAACAATGGAATAAACAATAGACAAATAAAAATATGCAAAAAATTTGTAACTATCTTTTTATATCACTCCCCACCCCCCCTCCCCGGCACTGCATAAGTGTCTGACTAGATGGAAAATTATTTTTCTATATAAATAAATGATCCATCAATGTTTATAGACTTTTACATTGACGAATATAACTAAATAAATAAGCCTAAAATGAATAAGTTAATTAAAATTTGATGATGGTATATTTTTAAATGATTATTTAAAATATAAATATGTACAACAAACAAAATCAGATTAGTGATATAAGCACCTAATAACAATTTAATATCGGCAACCGTACTAATCGACCTAATAATGATTATCATCAGATTTTTAAGATCCAATATTAGAATAAATTGTGTCATAAATAATTTTTATATAATAAAAAATCAGAGCGGCCAACTAAAAGATAGGCCCATACCGATATATAAAAAAATAATGATCGATATCGAGCTTATCCCATCTTATAAAATATTAATTAAGAATTATGAGTGTATTCTTAATTTCGAAATTATCTAATTTAACTTATTCTTATAAAATAAAAATATTAAATATATGTGTTGTGTGTCATTTAAAATTTAACCATTTTTATATAAAATTTTTGACAATATACTTAAATATTAGATACTATTTTATTAGTCCTTATTTCATTTCAAGGCCAAAACTCTTTTAAAAAAAATTATATAAAGAGCAGTCCAATAACTAAAAGCGTAAATAATTTTTTAATTTACACATTCAAATATATTTTAAAAAAATAAATAAATACTTCCATCGCAGTTTTCCCAAAGCATAAATGTGTTCATAGTCCCAACCTCGGTAATTTGTCGATCTGGCCCGTATAGCCATAAGACTTGCTGGCAACCATTTTCACAGGCTTTCTTTTGAAGGTAAACCGTAGGAGCGTAATTGCTATGTTCATTTTTTTTTCAAAATTTATGTCGGATAAAAAAAATACTATAGTATGTATTTGTTGTTTTAAATAAAACTATATATAGAATTTTAATCTAACTGCAATTGTTTTTTTTAAAGTAAGGGCCCTAACGTAAGCCTTCTTCTTTTCTATCAAAAAATAATATGCAGCCCCCCCCCCCCCCTCATCCCCAGGATATTTCATAATTTTAATTTAAAAAAAGAATGAATATTAAACGTGTCATTTACAAAATGAATTTATAATTATACATTCATTTTATGGTGAAAACTACTAGTTTATAGGGCTAAAAATAGTCTGGTAATCCAACTAATAAAATCGAGTTCTTTTATTTAATAAACTATATTTATAAATCGAAATAGTTGAAAAATAAAAGCGTTCAATCCAGCATTTCGCAAAATTTTATAATTTTTACTTTAAGAAACAATTTCCTTAAATTTTTAGGAAATTGGAGGGAAAAAATAGCGCAATAAATTGAAAACATATAAATTTTAATGAATACATGGGATATTTTATTAAAATTGTTGTTTAACTTAATAGTAATAATCAATAGATCATTAAATGGATTACCAATTTTATCCCATGATGACTGAAGCACTTCCAACGTCATTTGTTAAACATTGTAAAAGTATAATTCATGATTTAAATTATTTTGGGTTTGGCTCATTAAAAATTAGCAAAGCTGGAAATAAACGAAGTGCGAAAAAGGCAAAAAAAACTGATCGTTAAGATTAAATCATTTTTATAAAATTCTTATATATCTTTTAGATAATGTGAATAAAAAATATATAAAGATGTAGACACACTAAATCGTTTTAGAATTAAGAAATGAATGTATCTAAGACTATTTTATAATATATTACTATATGTTGTATTCCATATTAAATCAACCAAAAAAAGTCGATTCTCAACCCGATACCTTCGATTTTTTTAAAAATTTGTATGATGGTAGTATATACACTAACTAGTAAAAATGTAAAATTTTAATTCTCAACTCAGCTTACTTTATGAGATATGGCCATCTTTAGAAACGCGGAAATTCCAAAATACACTATATTTAATTTTAAATATCTCAAAAAGTAATTAAGCTAAAGACATGATTTAAATTTTATTAAATAGCTCTAAAATAGCTCTTTAATATGAAATAAGAAATATTTTTGTGAAAAAAAGTCTATTACCAAAAACCGGAAATGGCTATAAAATAAAAATTGCTCTTTTTTTTCTTTTAAATTTTTTTTACAGATAGACATTATACTTCTTAATATTTGTACAAAATCCTAGATTGGGACGAGTATTGGGCCAAAAATTATTACACTTTAAATATAAGTAGTATGGCTTAAATCCTATATTATATTAAATGTATAGTAATTTAGAAAACAAATAAGAAAATCCGTTTGGGATCGGGCCGGATATATTTTTTTATAAATCTTTCTGGCCGTGTTAGAAAAATTAGGCCCTATGCAGATCACTAGTAGACATTGTGTCATATTTAGCACATAAGTTTAGCTATTTTATTTTAGAAGGAAAATAATTGTAAAAATATTTATAACTTTATTTAGCTAATTAATATAAATTAATATTTTAATAAACATATTAATGTTTGGCCATTAAAAATCTATTTTCAAGATTGATTTCCATTCTTAAATATTCTACGTTGCTAACAAATGTATATTTAATTCCCGGGATATTCTCGCATAATTATATAAGTCAATAGGAGTTATTATAGGATTTTCATGAGGACGTTGCAGGCTTGCTCTAGCCGCCAGTCTCTTAATAATTCCCCCTTTGCCATTCTGCCTTGATCCCAAAATCATTATAATGGTTGTCGAGGTTTACAAAGTTTTTTTTGTTTTTATACTGGGTGACAGCTCCATCAGAAAAATAAAATATTATTGAAATCTTATCAAATCTTTCTTTCAAGAATAGAATTAATTTTATTTGAAATAAATGAAAGGAACAAGTATTGTGTTTGAGACAATCTGATATAATCACGTAACTTAAACGTTTGATGATATCGCCTTCGCGGTAATAAATCATAAATGGATGAAGTGTTGCCTATTATTAGTCCAATGGAAACCCTGAGCCTGATCTTAAACTACAAAAGCGTAGTTCTCTGCAAAATCGGATATTAGATATTCCCCATCCTTCAAATTCGATTTTAATGCTTAAAAAATGAGATTGTTCCGAGGAATTAAAATATTTAATTTTTCAATCAAATACTCCACAAATTCGTTGGCGGACTTTGTTAAAGTTTCGAGTGTAGTACAGTCAGCTGCCAACCATTGTTTAAATGTTATATAATCTATGGCATTATTATCAAACAATAAGTGTAGTCTTTCTTTAAGTTCCAAAGTGCCGGGACACATTTGGCATTTCCTCAAGTAACAGCAAGGCTGGGGAAGATTGCATAGACTTCATGCAGTAATGTTTAAAATCTTCTAAGGGAGGAAATGGAAAGTTATGCTGGTTTGTAGTTAACTTATCTAATTTACCACCAATTATAATTAACTTAAAATTAATAGAAGGTAATGTGATAGGGATCGTAGAAGTAAAAGGTAAGATGGGATTTGTTGAATATTTTTTAAATTTTTTCCGTCAAGAACTACAAATTTTTGATTAATTGATAAGCTAGAATTCACTTGTATCATCCACTATAAAACACCTCTAAGATCGTAGGGTACTGAATGAGTTATTCGAAATGGGTTGCAGCACAGGAATTGTAGACATTTAAAATATAATTTTTTTAAATTAATAAATAAATTTAATTTTTTAGAAAAATGGCTATGTAAAATTAATCAATAAAAATGACGACTGTTGTTGTTGGAATTAATTTTGAATATTGACTTTATGCCAAATATAATTATTTTATTTTAATTAATTATAATTAGATTAAAATAATCTTTAAAATGAAAATATATTTCTGACAATCACAATAATAATTAATTGTTGGCAATGAAAAATAAACTTCAACATTCACTAACAAAGTTGCCAGGACAAATCTCGAATTTAAGAAGAAATTTGGGACGAATATAATCTTTAGGTTGGGGTGAAGAGATTATTGAGCTCACTTTTTATTATCATAGTTGTTACTTTATTACTTTATATAAAATCTTATTATTTATTCCTTATAATGACTCCAAATTAAGGCGTTTTGCGTTATATTTAAAATAATACAATACAATTTGGTGAATGTTGTTTTGAGTTTTTTAACATTTAAAAAATGCAAAATAATAAGATTTTTTAGGATTTTAATTTTAATGCTATTATTCACATATATTTCCCACTTTTTAAAAAAATAATTACTCTATATTTGGTATAATATAGGATTTAAGCCATACTACTTATATTTAAAGTGTTATAACTATTGACCCAGTACTCGTCCCAATCTAGAATTTTGTACAGATATTAAGAAGTATAATGTCTATCTGTAAAAAAAATTTAAAAGAAAAAAAAGAGCAATTCTTATTTTATAGCCATTTCCGGTTTTCTATTTCCGGTTTTTGGTAATAGACTTTTTTTCACAAATATATTTCTTATGTCATATTAATGAGCTATTTTAGAGCTATTTAATAAAATTTAAATCATGTCTTTAGCTTAATTACTTTTTGAGATATTTAAAAATATAGTGTATTTTGGAATTTCCGCGTTTCTAAAGATGGTCATATCTCATAAAGTAAGCTGAGTTGAGAATTAAAATTTTATATATTTACTAGTTAGTGTATATACTACCATCATATAAATTTTTTAAAAAATTGAAGGGGGTCGGGTTGAATCTTCAGTTGATTTGATATGGAATACAACATATATAAATATCATTTATAAACACCATGTTGATATTAATAAATTATAAACCTATTTTTCTTCTCATGATTGATTATTTAAATAAATGTTTTCATACAATATTTATCCTTAATTATTAATTCGTTTGTGTAATCTATTTTAAAAAATATTCAAATGAAAATCATTTCAATCGAGACCTGCATGCCCGGCCAAGATACCCGAGCCGGGTCTAACGAAATTTATTTAAAAATACCCAGGTCGGGCCTTATATTGTAAATAGCCATTAAAAATAATAAAAAATATTTAAAAATTGTGTATCAGAGAACAATATATTACATTCATTCACTTATGGCTGAAAAATGATCCGTAAAATGCCGAATAGGAAAAAAAAAGACCGTAGAAATTTTTTTAAAGTGATCAGAGCCAAAATAATTCTTCTAAAAAAATCAGAGCCGAGCCTAAAAATATAAAACCCGGGTCCAGCCTAATTTTTTTTCTTTTAAATCCGGACCGTGAAAATGGTATCTCTGCAGGTATCTGCTTTTATAGGGTGGATCTATTTATTACTTGGCTGATAATATCGCTCGGCTAACGACATAATAAATTATTACTAAATATCGATCGGCTAAGAAATATAGCTCGGCTATTCGTATAATAAATTATTTATTACTAAATATCGATCGGCTAACCATATCATATATCATTTATTACTAAATATCGCTAAACTAACCATATAATAAATCATTTATTAATTAATATCGATAATTGCTATACTCACTTTATTATTAAAATTATATTTTTTGTCAAACCAATTTTACCTTTGTATATTTTTAGTTGATAAAATATTTAATGGGTGATCTTTACCTTACTGCTATAACATTTAAACATATAGCAGTTAAGAGATATAACAGACGAATTTCCTATATTTTTGGGACCAATATATTTGCATGGAAATTCTGATATCACCTATCAAACTTCTTTTTTTGCATTCTGTATTTTTATAAAATAAAATAAATATCGTATTTGGTCATGAAATATCTCAGAAACATAAATGGTGTTATGCCTAAAAAAAATTATACATGATATTTTTTTCTTTTAATGGGATTTCATTTTCTCGGAATGACCAAATATACAATAAAAAATTAAATGATTTTGATAATAATCATTTAAATATATTTTTGTCATATATAAAAAATTAATTTCAAAGAGTAATTTAAACATTTTTACATCCCTCAGGCTCAAAAAACCATATCATTTAATGCAGAACTAAAACAGAAAGGACTCGAAATTATAATATAAAATCAAATAAATAATATTCATAAAATTGAATTAAATGTTTAAGCCTTTTGGTTTTATAACAGATAATTTATCTTTGCTTCGACTATTAATTGAAATATTAAGGTTAATATTGTATTAGAAATTAGGATATTGATTATATGAAAAATATTCTTTTCTTTTTGAAAGATATCTTTCAAATTCTTTCTCTTAGAACATTATGATATCTTTAATTTTGTCGATTAATTCTTTTAAAGAACGTCTAAATTAAGTTATATAGGACAAAAAAAAATTAATTTTCATTATTACCACAATTATATTAATCATTTAATTTTATTTATTATATATTTGGTCATTCATTAAAAGAAAAATTATCTTGTGTAATTTTTTTAGAAATTCGCATTTACAACTTGTTTTTACTGAAATATTTCCCGAATCGGGTTTACTCGCTTAGGCATTACATTTCTATCCTTCTAATTTTCTATATTCTTATCGTTTAATTTTAATTATTTAGGGTGTGTCCTGAGTCAACTTATTTATTAACCTAAAAAGCAAAAGAAAAAATTTTAAAAAGCGAAATTCAAATACGAAAAAAGGGAAATAAGACAAAAAACGAGAAAATAAATAAGAAAAATAACAATGCCACCTAATAATTAAAACAACTTAAAATAGGGTGTCCTAGTTCAAAAGCTAGTTTAGCTAAACAGCAATTAAATATAAAAATTAAGTCGAACCTGAATTTAGCCTCACTATTTAGTATGCTTATAATTTCGTTATTATGAAAATATTTTTTATAAATTTTAATTACCTATTTTCGCTTGCCCTTTCCTATATTTCTAGAATAACGGATATATTTCGCCCATTGTTATAAAAATATTTTTTATATTTTAATTCCCTATTTATTCCCGATTTTGTGTCCCTTTCCAATATTTATAGAATAACAAATATATTTCGTCAATATATATTAGATTATATTACCCTAAATTTATATTTTAATCCGCTCTTTGCCGATTCCAAACAAATTATATTATATTATATCTATAATTCTAGTTAATAATTAATCGAATCAATAAAAATTTAAAAGAGACAATACTGATTTTTTTTAGCAAAATACAGAAAATAATGCACAATAAATTCATGGAAGGAAAACTAAAGTGTTGAACATTTAATAAATTTATTATCCCAGCTTCCAATTTGATTATAAAGAAAGGAAAATTAAATTTGGAAAACTCCTAAATGTTTTCATGCATCTTGGTAGAATAAGGCATAATTGATTAAGCTTTCAAAATTATTTTTTTAAATAAATGACAAATAGAAAAATATTAAAATAAGCCATCTTGCGGATAGAAATATATTATTACTTTAAAAATAGGATTCATGAGAAAATTACTTCTTAAAAAGATATTGAAACTAAAATATGATATAAATAATTTTTTATATTTATCTAAATATTTATTTAATTATAAAAAAACTATTTTAAATCATAATAGAGCGTATGAAATACAATAATCCAAAATGAATTATGTAAATAATTTTTTAAATCTATTCAGCATTTATCTTAAATAATAAAACTATTTTTCATAATAAACTATTTTTCATAATAAAGTCTATGAAATACACCAATCTAAAATAAATTATTAAAATAATTTTTCATACCTTATCAGTAAATATTCAAATAAAGTAACCCATAACCGAAAAATAAAAAAATTTATCATGTTCAAAAACTATTTTAAATAATAGTAAAGCTAATGAAATAGAACAATCTAAAATAAATTTTATACCTATTCAGACATTTATTTTAATAATAAAAACTATTTTAAATAATAATAAAGCTTATGAAATACAACAATCTAGAATAAATTAACAGACAAAAAATTAATATAAATAAAGTGAAAATCCACTGAAATATGATTATATATAAATACTCGACTATTTATAGCCGCACAATATTTATTAATAATATCTTATGTAATTATCCGAGCGTGCTTATAAATTATTCGTTATGTGGGTAGCCGAATGATATTTAGTAATAAATAATTTATTACGTGGCTATCCTGGCGATATTTAGTAATAAATGATCTATTATGTGGTTAGTCAGGCGATATTTAGTAATAAATGATTTATCATGTGGTTAGCCGATTGCCATTTAGTGATAAATAATTTATGCGGCTAGCCTGGCGATATTTAGTAATCAATGATCTATAATATGGTTAGCCGAGCGATATTTAGTAATAAATGATTTATTATGTGGCCAAGTGCTATTTAGTAATAAATGTTTTAATATGTGGCTGACCTAGTGATATTTAGTAATAAATAATTTATTCTGTGGTTAACCGACCGATATTTAATAATAAATGATTTATTGTGCGGTTAGCAGAGCGAAATTTCCCAGTAGAGGGATATTTAGTAAGAAGAGAATTATTATGTGGTTAGCCGAGTGATATTTCCCAGCCGTGTGATAAAATGACACCCTCAATTAAAATGATATATATTTGAATATTTTTAAAAATCTAGGATAAATAAAATAATTATACACAAATCTTCTGATGTTATAAATCTTTTCTTTATTAATAGTTTCTATAAAAACATTTATTTAAATAATCAATCATGAAAAGGAAAAAAGGTATATTATTTAATTGCAATATCAACAAAATGTTAATTTTATCATTCATTCTTAATTCTAAAACTGATTTATATCTGTATCTTATTTTTTATTCAAATAATCTAAAAGATAAATAAAAATTATGAGTTTTATAAAAAATAAAGTATATTTTTACATTGCTTTACACATGACGTATGACAAGGAAGGGCTCCAAGTTAAGCATAAAAAAATGAATATTGTAGTTTTAACATTAAAATTATGGTAGATATTATGAAAAATTAGATATTATGATAAATCGCTTATAAAATTTAAAAAAGTAAATAGAATTTTATTTAAATTTATTATTCTGATTTTAATTAAAATGTTAATTATTTTTAAAAATGATTGCTAAATATAGTAAAACTATTTTTTTAAAAAACTGGTGTTATTCTTACTAAATTTCATTTAAATTCTTTGATTAATTAGTAAATCGAAAAATTATTTTGCAATAAAAAAATTATGGGTTACATAAATAATTTATAAAGTAACTGGCAATGTAACAAGTTAGCTCTAAGAGTCACTTTTTAAGAATTTAACTGGTGTGAGCTGTCTTATAAATTGAAAGGAATGACCAATTTTAAAAAAGATACATATATTATCTAAATTACACTTATGATTCGATTTATTAAAAAAAAGAAGCCTTTTCACAAGAGACCCGTTTTGAAAATAATGATTGTTAGGTTACGGTTTTCAAAAAAAAAAAATCTGGGTTTATTTTATACAAAATTAGTATTTTTTAGTATTATAAAATAAAAAGATAAGTTTCATGTACACGTGATTTGATCAATGTGAAAAATGGAAATGGCCATTAGTAAATCCCCATGCAAAAGTAAAGTGTTTTAGTTTTCAAAAAAATATAATATTAATTAAAATTGTAAATAATTGGGTCGCTCCACTTAATTTTTTGTTGTAAAAGTATAATGCAAAATAGTTTTTATTTTTTTATATATTTTTAATAAAATATCGTTTCAATTTAAACAGTACATTAAATATATTTTTAATAATTTCATATTACGATCCGAGTTTGATATCCCCGACGCCACCAGGCCACGCCCTAACATACCTAGCGTCGGTGTAGAGGGCGATGGAGTCAGATCCGTTGGCGTAATAAGACCCCACGGGGGAAGTTATGACGTAAAGTTGGGCACTAGTGGAAGAGGCAACTCCTAAGGTCGGCTTTATATGGCGTTTATTATGGGTTTATAATGTTTTACGAATAAAATGATATTATATACTTTTAAAATTTTTTTTACTCTCTTTCTTATTATCAATTAGAGATCGGCAAAGCCCGGTCCATTATTATAATGGAGCGGGCAATTTGTACATTTTTTTGGACCGGGCCGGAAAACTTATACATAAAAAAATCAGACAAGCCTCGCAAATTGCAAATTTCTGATTTTCGTAAAATTTTAATTGGCCAGTTCGGGCATCAAGATTTTAATATATTCTTTTGAATTTCAAGCTAATATTTTGATTAATACTATTATAGAATAATTTTTAATATGCTTATTTCTTCGTTAGGAGTCCGAGATATCTTAATTATTTTTAAAAGACTTAAATTTTTAAATTCTTATGATTATCTGTTTATCTATTTTATTTAAAATTACATCTATTTAAAATCAATTTACATTATATCAATCTAATAGAAATAAAAATATCATAAATGAATAATAATACAACCCTATCTAAATATTAAATTTTAATTTACATTCATAGTTAGTTAAATCAAGATTTGAATATTACTAAAACTATGATTTTTGGCATTTCTTGATTTTAAATTGAGATATGATTAGAATGATATTTCTTACTTATAAATTATTTTAAATTTTAAAAAATCTAAATTAATGAAGTGTTTGATTACTTTTAAAATATTTTGAACAGAAGAAAAAGATAAATAAAATTTTCACAATGGGTAAGATTTGAGGTCGGGGTAGACTGGATAACTTGTGAAAAATATTTTTCGGGCGTAACCTGAAATTTCCAAAAAAAATAAGCCTAGAACTATGCATTTTTTCCCTTTATATAAAATTATTTTAAGGGCTAGGCAAGATAAAAATTCATGAGCTGGGCCCAAAAACTGGATCAACTCGCCCAAAATACCAGACCAGGCCGTGTAAAAATTTAATTTATATATGCATTTGCTATTGTATATATATAGCATCTATTTCTAATTGAAAAACAAATTGACAGGGCTGAGAACCCAAAACAGATTTTACTCAACTCTCACCTAAACCCTATCTAAAATTTAGGATGGTAGAATTGTTTTTTTTTCATTTTCGGTATTAAATCATTTTTATTAAATTTTATGTACATATTTTACCGCCATATTTTGTAATTTTGTTATCTTAGAATATATTTTGTAAGAATATCAATTGTTTTTGTTGAAACTTTTGAAGTACTTTTTTTTTATTTAACAAAACAAATATTAAAGCTATCATCTAATATATAATCTCCATAATCAAAACACGATCGTTTTCATATCTCCCTAATGTATTTAAAATTTAAGGAGACTATATATTGTAATGTTAATTTTTTGCTCTCTATGAGAGTCGAACCACAAACCTCCCCTTTCAAAGGCGTATGTTTTACGCATGCACCAACTTGAATATAATCAAATAGTCCTAATGAGTTGACCTTGATCTGAAGTAGGATTGAGGTTTTTAGAGATTTACCTATCTCCAGGCTTGGAAAAAAAATTTCAAAATTATTAGGGGTTGGCCAGGTTTGAGAAAAATTTTTTTAAATTATTACGGGTGGGGCTGGGCTTAGAAAATATTTTTATGAATTATATTGGACTGGGCTTAAGGAAAATTTTTCGAAATTATTATCAGCTTGGACGCTTGGGAATTCTATTATCAACTAGATCAGACATTGACCTAAAACAAATTTTTGGGAGGGGGTTATAAAGAATAAAAAGATATTATTTTCAAATAACAGGTAACAACTATCATAAAAGTATGGAGAAAAACTATAATATACAGAGTTAGCAATCAGTCAATTGACAGGTCTACTCTAAAAATCGGAAGAAAAATAATTAAAAATTTATTTGAAAAAAGAATAAACAATATAAATACATGTGATCACAACTGCTTATTTCAATATCAAGAGGAGCATCTTATTAGTAACGAATTAAATGAAGTATATGATATAATACAAGGATTAGGCATTTTACAATGTGGCGATGATCAAAATACTTCAAGTGATTTCATAAAACTAGTAGTAAAATAGGCATGTTTAGTAGTAAATTATGTGGAAAGCAGTAATTTCCATAAGAAACAATCAGAATCCGGCCTCAAGTTAGTGGAATGGGTTTGCCCGCTATGCCTATTAAGAGAAGTGGTATTTTACTAGTTCCACTTCTTCTTCAGAAAGAAGTTGGTCGATTTGGGTTAATATTCATACTAAAACAAAAATAGATTGAAGATCTCAACAACTGGAAAATTGATTAAAAATATTAAATATAATGATAATATTGAATATGAATCAGAACAAAACTCTGCCATGGGGAGCGAAATATTAGCTATAGAATGACAATGAATTTAAATATTATAAAATCAATATTACTATTATATACAAAATAATATTGTCTTATATCAAATTTAATTTGACTGGCCATATTGGACAATTAACCGAATCATTTTGATGGGTCAAATACACAACCCTGATAATAATTATCAGAGACTTGCAGGCCCGGCCCTAAACCCGGCCCGGGCCGTATTATAAATTTTTTAAATATACCCGGGCCGGGCCTAAAAAAATTTTTTTTTAATATATCCGGGCCGGGCCGGGCCTACAAAATTTTTTTTTAATATATCCGGGCCGGGCCTAAGATTGTTAAACCCGGGCCGGGCCAAAGATTGTTAAACCCGGGCCGGCCGGGCCTTATTATTTTTTATAAAAATTATTACATTATGAGTTAATGGTTATAAGATTATATTATATTATAGTTATGATTAATATAATATTGGGTGATGGTTAACACTACCTAACACCCACAGATCGATCTAATTATTAATTTCCTGCAAATTTATTCAAAGTATTAATATATTTTTTTATAATTCATATCTAAATTTTTACAACATATTTTACCAAAACAATCAAATAAAGGAATATCTTAAATAAGCCCCAATATTCAAGTATTATTAATATAATTTTTTATAATTCATATCTAAATTTTTAGAATATATTTTACCAAAACAATCAAATAAAGGAATATCACTTCTTGAAGTTTGTAATACCTTTCAAAGCGAAAAAGGAGAAATAAAATTGATTTTACTTAATATAAAGCATTTTTTAATTGAAAAATTTGTTTTACACAAGTATCATTTTATTTCTCTTTTTCTCTGTCCAAAATTCAAGCAATTACGTATGTAGTCAGGGACAGATCGCAAGATGACGGAAAACTATATAAAAGATTATATTAAATTACAAGAGGCTCAGGAAGTAAATGAAATACCATCGACCAGTCAAATTACGACTGTTGTTAAACAAACTGAATAGTTTTATGACAAATGGGGCGATGGTAATTCTGGTAATATGTCAATACCCGATGATGAATATTATAATTACATAAATAAAAAAATAGATGAAACATTTAAGGTGGATAATTTGTTAGAGTGGTGGGCGGCTCATCAAAGCGAATTTCTAATTTTAGCAAAATTGGCAATTCTTGCTTCAAGTGCAAGCTGTGAGCGGAATTTTTCCACTACGAGAATTCTTGAAGAAAGAAGAAGTAATCTTCAACCTGAAAAGGTAGATATGCTTCTCTTTCTTCTTGATAATTTGTGAATTTTTAATATCTTTCTTGAGTATAGGGTTTCGTCAATCATGTTGGTTTTTTACTTTGCAAACTGTCAAATATTTATTGCATTTATTATATTTACCTTGAGTCATGAAAGTTTTTAATCCAACATTTTTCATTATTCTTTTTTACAATATTATATAATACAATTATCTTCTTTTGTTAAAAATTTATATTATAAAATAAATTATATTAATATTGTGCAATTAGATTATATTTTCAAAATACTATTTATTATACATGCATTTTTTTAAATAGCGATTTATTTTTATTTTATAAATTAAATAGTAAATTAAATACAATATATTTTTTTTTTCTCTTTAGCTTTTACCTTTTCTGGTGGTAAGCTCCTTCAACATCTCTCTCCACTTTATGTTATTCGTACAATATCTTTTATCTATTTTATACTTCTTTATATTGGCTCTAACTTTATGGCCCCATTGAAGTTTTGGCCTTCCTCTTTTACGTTTGCCCATCACTTCCAATCTTTCAACTTTATTTCCTATGTAGTTCATAGGCCTTCTCATTGTGTGCCCATACCACCTAAGTCTGTTTACCATTAACTTAGTCTTAATGGGCACTACCTTACTATTTAGTATTCTTGTACTGCGCACCTTATCCTTTCTTGTTACCCCAGCAATCATCCTCAGCATTCTCATCTCCATAGTTTGTAGACTTCTCTCGTCTGATTCTTTGGTTGGCCATGTTTCCGAACTATGGTTGTACTATGGAACTGTAAATTTTTCCCTTTAATTTGTGTGGGATTCTTTTGTCAAATAGCACTCCAGATAAAGATCTCCACTTTAACCACCCTTGATTAATCTTATTCTTTATCTCTTTTTCTATTGTGCCGTTTGTTTGTATAGTGGAGCCCAAATATTTGCAGCTTTCAATTGCGGATATCTGCCAATCATTTATATCAATACTCTCCGTTTCATCTCCTCCTATCACCATATACTCCGTCTTTTCTCTATTTACTTTTAATCCGTGCGTTTCTAGGATATTTATCCAATTCACTAACCTTTCTTTCATTTCATCCTTGGATTCGGCAAGTATCACAATATCATCTGCAAATATCATATTCCACGGGACTGTTTGAGGTAAAGACTGTGCTAATATATCTATTACTGTAATGAAGAGAAGTGGGCTGAGAGCCGACCCTTGATGAACTCCTTCGGCTATTGTGAAGCCTGCTGAAGTACCTGTTGTGCTACGGACCATTGTTGTATGTCCCATATACATATCCTCTATTATTCTTATATATTTTTCGGGAACTTTTTTGTGGCGTAGCGCCCACCAGATAAGTTTTCTTGGGATTCTATCGAAGGCCTTTTCTAGATCGAGAAAGACCATGTGTAGCTTTTTGTTCTTTTCC